AAATCTTAATGAATTAATATAAATCTTAATCTATGTAAATAAGAGTTTCCTCTTGACTCGATGCGCTTGTGAATGTATGGAATTCTTTCTCAATCATACTCGCGAATGGAATATTAACAAATGCGAGGCGTTACTGTATTGCAAATGTACCATCGTTGCTCTCGAAATTCTAGAGTTCGTTCGCGAAACATGATTACCGGAGCGATTTGATGATTGTGTTAATCTTCTCAATACAGTCCTCCTTTTTCCTGGAGATCGTCGTCTCCATGTCGATGAATTGCTGCCGACTGATCTTGCCCGGGATCAGTTTCTCCAAGTACAATGCCTGCAGTTGGCCGTAGATCTCCTTCAGATAACGATCGCACTTTTGTAACTCCTGGATGCGATCGTACACGTCGGTGGACTCTCCCTTTATCTTCTGCGCGATCTCGTTGAGTGCATTGTTCGCCGCCTTGTATTCCTGATTGATACCCTTTATCGCGGACTGGAAACTGTTGGTGTCCTTAGACACTTTCAGGTACGACAGCTGCTCCTCCAGATTATAGTAAGTCGCGATCCTGCGATCCTGAGCAGCGAGAACTTTCTCGCACTGACCGGCGATCCTCAGCTTGCTCTCCGACACTTCATCCTTATCGATGGAGAAATCACATCTCACGTATACTATGACCGCCAGGAACATCAGCCACAACGCCAGCACGATCATCAGCGGTTCCTGCAGCATCAGCAGACGCGGGAACGTATACTTGAGCCTGAAACTCTGAATATGATTCTCCACCAAATTATTTTTAGTCACAGATATCACCGGACGCCCAGTGACATCCAGATACGTATAATGCAGGGAATCTGGCAGGCGGTTCACAGGATAAGGCAGCTCCAGCTTTATGTTCCTTGCACCCTCCGGCAGAATAATCTTCAGGACCATCTCATCCACCACCATGTCGTCGAAGATGTGATCTAGCAGTCTCATCTCCAAGGCGAACTCGTCCCCAGAATGGAAGAGGTACTCATAGCTGGGTACATTGTAACCAATTGTGTAACGAGTCTTCCAACCACCGAACAATGGGAATCTCGGCCGCAGATTCAGTTCCACTGAATCCTTCTTGATGCGGGTGTGCGATGTGGAGATGTTACCGATCTCGTCTCTGTAATAAATGTCGGAAGCGGCCGCCGGCAGGATAGTATCGAAACTTTGGATACTTGCCTGTCCAGATTTGGATTCCCGGGCGTACTCGTAACGTGAGAAGGAGCCTTTCAGCAACGCTCCAGTATGTAAAAGATCAATATGCTCCTCGACAGCTATGTTACCCCAGTGAGAGATCTCGAGGACCCTCTCGAGCCTCGTTACTGTGAGGAACTTATTGTTGTTCTCGAAGTGTACAGTCATTTCCTCATAGGAGAATGGCGGTTGAGACTCATATGGACCATAAGCCAACATCGAGCCAGTCTGGGAAACAGGCTTGATCTTGGTGTAGCTTTCGAGATTGCGAGTGGGTAGTGCCACGTAGGTGGTCTGCTTGGTGACAGGATAGGGCAAGCAGGCATACACATTGCCTGTGTACCTGACGAGTTGCTTCTCCTGTTGAGTGATCTGCTTGGGATGCGGTACTAGCTCGTGCGTGAATACTGTCTCCAGTTCAATAGTGAGAGAACGCCGAGCTGCCAGATGATTGCCGAGATCAACGGAATAGAAGACTCGATCACGATGCGCTGGCACTTTGGTCTCCTTCACCTTCAACTCCAGTTTATCAGGTTCCACACGTGCCGCTATATAACTGATGAATCTACTCTGAGCATTGTCCAGGCAGAAGAGGAAATTCCGGACGCGGTCTTCTTTGCCTTGCTTGTTTTCCATCACCACTCGAGTGGTGATTTTGGTTAGCTGGGACTGCAGGTCGATGTGTCGCTCGACGCTCCTGATGGTCAAGTTCGGGTCGACGATTCCATCCAGGTTGGCCGCGGTGCAACCGCTGTACGTCCCCAGGTAGAACGCGAGAGCGCAGATTAGCGCACCCGCGTGAACGCGAGACATCGTCGATGAGACTCCGAATCGTTAGGAATTTCTATAATTTTATCTCCTGATGGAACGAACTAACGAAGCGGTACGATAAACGTCTTTCTCCTTGTACGTTGCGCACTTGCCGGTACGCGGCGACACGGTTAGCATATAACAAAATACGTGGCGTTCGTCTATGGCGCCGGCTAGTTGCGCGCATGTCAATATGTAACGATGCGGCCAGCAACGCATCATTGCGAGACATACGTTCACGTTTACAATACAAATGGAATGTTCGGTTTGAATTGAATTATTTGATTGATCTATTTTAAAATCTAATGGAATATGCCAATCAAATGCAAGAGCGATTGTAGTACTGAATGCACTCGTTGGATGCATCCAGAAGCACAACCGCTTATTGAGCGCTCATTGAGCTCTTACATCTGATTGGCATATTCCATTAGATCTAAAAATAGAGACCAAACAAGAACTCACTGAACGCTCACTGAGCGGTTGTGTTTCAGGAGCTCGATTGTGTATTTTGAAATAAGGTGAAAATTACAAAAGTGCAATGATTACTAGGTACCGGATCAATTAAATTAATGAATATTCTAGTGAATTTGTTCACATTTGTAATTTTCATTTCAAGATACACAATTGACTTCCTGGATGCATCTAATCACCAATGAGATACTATTGAAGGTCGTCAACCCTGGATAAATTTTCGGCAGTATAAAAAGAGCTTCAAAGGTCCGAAGGTAATTGAAGAACGCTGACATTATCGATAATTGATATAAATTTACTATTATTAACATAAATATTTGGCTCATACATTATTAAATTTATGATTTTTTATTACATAAATGTTCCATAAATAAATATACTTATAAAGCTATAATATCCTACATATTGCAGAAAAATTACAATTTTTTTCTCTGCAGTTATCATCTCTGTTGATTATCTCTGTTGAAGTTAAACTTTGACGGTAACACTGAAATCACAATTTTATCGAAAAATCGAGTATTATTGAGTTCTAAATGTATAAATCTATTAAACTAATATGAATCATAAATATAATCATAAAATAAATTATAAGTATAATCCCAGCAAACGAGAATGGATTAAAATGGATTGAAATTTTTTTCTATCCGAATGTATATTTTAAATAGCTAATATTTTTTTGGGGCTTAATTGGATTCAATTGGATTCAGTTGGATTCAATTGGATACAATTGGATTGAAAAACTACATTTCCTATTCAAAACTTTGAATTGAACAGTATTACGTTTCATAATTGCATTTGTGTGCACAAGAAAAGCTAATATTATTTTTAGATTGAAAGGCATAGATGCGATATGCTCCAATTCCTATATAAATGAATAAAAATGCATTCAGAATTGAAAAACATTCATTTTAACATTCATGAATCAATATTTCTGAAAATCTGAATCCATTTCAATTCATTTCAATCCATTCTCGTTTGCTGATATATTATCAGTTTTTAATTTTTAATCACTTCAATATTCACAAGGATGCAAACGTCGATCTTTAATAGTATCTTGTCGATGATCTGCACCCAATTGATGCTCACAATTTCAAAAGTGCGGTAAAGTGAACACAGTTTCAAGATGCGTTCGGGGAAATGCTATTAATACTTGAATCATTCTATCCATTGTTTTCGTCTAATAAACAATGAAGATAGAATAACAGAATAACGCTAACAGCGTCTCCCTGAACGCACCATCAATGAGCGTTTGTCCTTGTTTAACAATTGTTAATAAGAATGAAATGATTTCGAAAGTTGTGAGCATCAAGTGGAACGCAGCCCAGTATGGTCCGTTTTCATAATATATTACTTAAAGATTAAAGGTTACCAATAGATATATCAATGAAATTCATTCATGAATTTCTTACCTTTAATTTTTAGGTAATCATATATATTGTGAAATCGGATCTATGCCTATTCTGTAACTTTTAATGACAATGGCGGTAGTCCAATTCATACTGACAACTCATGAGCATCGTTTTGTCTTCGTTTAACATTTGACAAACAACAAGGATGAAATGATGCCTAAAGCGTTGTGAACACAAAGCAAACACAGCCACAATATCATTGCACAGATATTTTATATGGTAAAAAAAATTGCGCAACGTCACATAATGGTATCGACAGTGTCGTTATGAAATTAGAGAATAGCACTACTGATTACTCATCCATTGTTAAACAAGAATAAGATGATACACGGGGGCACCTGGGTGAAGTTTCCGAACGCAGCCATAGTGAGTAATGAACATCCGAAGGACGAAAAGTATCAGCACACACTACTGAGGAAGAAAAAACAAAGTAGAAAAAGACGAAAAGAAACACTGGTAGAGTTGAAGTGCGTTCCGTTAAATTGCTGGCAAGTACTTATAGGAATGCATTCCGTATTAACATCCGAACGATAACTTTTCGTTGGAATTTCAATGAAAAACGTCTCGCATGCGCAGAACGTTATGCTCTAATAAAGCGCGACGATCAAATATATGTAGAGTTGCGTTGTAGGTTATGTTTATGTTCTGTCAGTTTTGTGTTTGAATATAAACAAAGAATATACTATATTAAAAATTTTATATCTGAATTTAGTATTATTTATTTCTATGTCATGTATGTGCAAAAACGCCCAAGAATCGTTCCATTTCACGAGACAACTTCGATGTGTGACGTCATACTTCGTCCAAATCCTGACATACAGAAAATACACCCTGGAAAATCTGTAGTTACTACACGTAACATATATACAGATTTTCAATATTTACAGAATAACAAAACGCAATCATGGAGAGTAATCCGCCACCGTTGTACTTCCGGCGCATCTGTCGATTCTGCTTATCGGATTCAGAACCTTTGAACTCCATTTACGAGCACAACCACAAGTCAGTCCATCTACCACTCCAGTTGCAGATCATGTCCTGCGTTGCTATCGAGGTGAGACTTGAGAGGTGAGTGGCCCTGCCGCTAACAATACCAAAGACATAGACTGATATTCATAGTCAATTTTTATAAGATTCTTATAATTATTCTTGTAAGAATATCAAATATATTTGAGATTTTTTTAGGTACAGGTTACAGTCTTAAGATGTCATAAGTCAATCAGAGGCCAATATTTATAATTGGATCTTATATTTACGACTGTCTTAAGTTGTTACTCAGCATACATGTTCAAAAGAAGATATAAAACATCTTAAGAACATCTTCATAACATGATGTCTTTAGAATGTCTTATATCTGTATTTTAGATATACTGTTCTCTAGGCTACAGATATATGTCTCAGTATTATTGGCAGAACTAGTGCGCACTTAGTATACATTAAAGCTGTATACTGTTCTAATCTAAATAAAAAAGAGATATATATATATAT